GGAATGGAATGGAATGGAATGGAATGGAATGGAATGGAATGGAATAGAATAGAATAGAATAGAATAGAATATTGGCCAAGTGTGATTGGACACACAAGGAATTTGTGTTTGGTGCATATGCTCTCAGTGTACATAAAAAGATAAGATACTTTCGTCAAGAATCATAAGGTACAACACTTAATGATAGTCATAAGGTACAAATAAGCAATCAATATCAATATAAATGGTAAGGATATAAGCAACAAAGTTACATAAAGCCATCACAGTTGATAAAACTTTTGAGATTCCTTTTCACTGCTTTTTGTCTGTTAAATCCTTCCCCTCACACCTTTCCTCTACACCCAGCAATCTATAAAGTCCTCTACCTCTATCCTGGTAGATAAGAAGGCAACATGTGCCTCTTCTCCACATCAGAGGCCTACCAAAGGACCCTTCATCCCCCTCTTTTTTGTGTGCCCAGACCTTTCGCCGGCCGATCAGACTCACCAAGTACAGCGCCATAGGCAGCAGCAACAAGAACAGCCAGAGGTAGAGATGGCAGCTGTTGGTGAATTTGCTTTGCTCCGGATCGTGGTACCAGCCTCCGGTCAACGCTGCCCAGACTCCCTGCCGGAGCAGCTGCACCGCCTGGGACACCATCGCTAAGCCCTGCACGGAAAAGGCCGCCGGCTCAATCTCCTTGCCGTGGCTCGGAGCGGCGGGAGCGACGGCTCCCCCAGCAAAGACGCTTCTCGGCGTCGGGCATCATCCGAACCTCCATGCCGGATGCTACAAGGATTTTCCCATCATGCTGCGGTGGAGCCCAATCCACCAACCGGGTCTCCTGCCACCCAAGGATGCAAAGCAAAGGCGGCGTCCTTCTCTCGACTCCGCCCCCTCCTATCTAAAAATATGCTGCGGGGGAACAAGACGTCGGGACACGCTCTGATTGAAGCGTTTTCCGGGATGGAAACGTATTTCCCCTTCTGTGCGTGTCTCCCGTTTCTCGGTTAATAATTTACAGCTCTTCACTGTACATATTTATATTAGCATATGCTTGGCGTGTGTGTTGAGCCGCAAATCCCATCATTCCCCGGCAGATGGTTACTGGGGGGGGGGGGGCGCCAGCTTGGAGAACATCTCTATCCTAGTCCTTTCTCCTTCCCCGATCTTTTCAACTAGCGTCCGCGGAAGTATCGCCGCTCAGTCTTTTCCCCAAAGATAGCATTTCTCCCACTCCGTCTCCTATCGTGAGATAATTAGTAATGCCTAGAAAGCAAGCCTGCCTCTGTCTCAATGCAGTAGGCTAAAGTGGTTTGGAATAGAACACTAAACTAGGATCAGACTTCAGGAGAAACTACCAGGAAATTCCAGAACCCGAGGCTGGACTGGGAAGTCTTAAAGCATGCCGAAAGGCGACGGTGGCTAACCACTTCCGTACTGTGGCCAAATTACACGGAAGGTGCCATTGAATTGTCAGAACTCCAGCTCGTCCGGAAAGCTATTTCTGTATGAAGAGCGAGGATTACTACATTACTCCGTGAGAAAAAAAAGGGGGGGGCGAAATAAAAGGCAGAATTGTGCAATAGCGTCATCACTGGTTGAAATTTGCCGTAAGACGTCGAGTTTTCCCGACATTTTCAAGGGTTGGACTAGAAGACCTCTAAGGTCCCTTCCAACTCTGTTGTTCTGTTACGGGTACGGTAATGTGGGAAGAAACAACACTACCACAAATCAATCTCCCCAAATTATAACGTCGGAGTTGCGCGCTGAGTGGATCAGCGCTAGGTGTTGCAGGTGTCGAATTGCAATTCATACCCCGGAACAAAACAAATAATTCTTGTCCCGTTTCTGAAAATGCGGAGACCTGTTTTAGCTCCTCTTGCGTTGGGGAAAACACACAGGTTTCTGAATTTATGTGGAGATTCTCAGTCATCCAGGTCATGGTTGTCCAAAAGATGCTTTTTTTCAAGGTGCAACGGGAGTTTCTGGTTTTTCTTTGATGACGTTTCGCTTCTCGTCCAAGAAGCTTCTTCAGCCCCACCATCCAGTTAGAGCTGAAGAAGCTTCTTGGGTGAGAAGCGAAACGTCTTCAAAGAAAAACCAGAAAGTCCAGTTGCCCCTTGAAAAAGCACCTTTGGGACACAGGCTTCTGGCTGGGTAATTAAAAAATTAAAAACCAGCGAAGTCAGCTTAAGTTTTTTACTGAGGCATCTATATTAACTATCTAAAGATTGCACTAAACCCTGCACAAAAAGTATGAATAATGAATGTCATGCGAAGTAGACTCCTTAATATTCACGTGGATATGGGAAAGGTTCTATGGGTGTAAAAGTAAAGAACTACAAAGCCAAGACATGCTTGTTTTACTTCCTTCCATCCACCACTAGGAAGTGCTATTGACAAGGTTTCAGCCAATTTAACAGCAAGGAGAAAATGCTCTAGTTAATATGTCTCAACGCACTACTATTCGTTTCCAGTGCTTTTAATGTGTAAGTTTTCTCCTTCCTGCTGTGTTTAATATTTGAAAAGTGTGTTAGTTTTATCAGTAGTGTCTTTGGTGATTTGGAATAAAGAACGTTTTGAATTATACCATTATATAACGATTCTTGTCTGCTATTGCATATGTCCTTTTAATTGTACTTCTCTCACGGCTCCTTTAAGTATCAAATTCTTGTTATGATACAATTTATTAAACACAGCATTATGACTAAACCAAAGGCAATATATTCAAAAATGTATATTGCTCTGCTTCCTTCTCTCTCCCTTTTCCCCCCAACAAGGTCAGCTTATTGGAATAACAAACCCCTCTCATACCCCAGAGCTACTATGTTGCATTCCAAAGAATGTGCTCATAATTGAATGTCCACTATGAATGATACCCAAGCCTGCTTTAGAGTGCCCTCGTTTCTTTATTGGCTGTAAAGCAATTTTATTGGGTATTCTTTGGATATAGAGTGTATACACGCTCACATTTTTTGTGATCTACGTACTATGTAGCAATAGCAATAGCAGTTAGACTTATATACCGCTTCATGGGGCTTTCAGCCCTCTCTAAGCGGTTTACAGAGTCAGCATATTGCCCCCACAGTCTTGGTCCTCATTTTACCCACCTCGGAAGGATGGAAGGCTGAGTCAACCCTGAGCCAGTGAGATTTCAACCGCCGAACTGCAGCTAACAGTCAGCTGAAGTGGCTGCAGTACTGCACTCTAACCACTGCACCACCTCGGCTCCTTATGTCACAGAAGATTAGAATAGAATAGAATAGAATAGAATAGAATAGAATAGAATTCTTTATTGGCCAAGCGTGATTGCACACACAAGGAATTTGTCCTTGGTGTATATGTTCTCAGTGTACAAAAGGCGAATAAAATACATTCATTAAGAATAAAAAGATACAACACCTAGTGATAGTCATAGCTAATAAGCTGTCAAATCATACTAGGAATCAAATAAAACAATATAATTGAAAGATACAAGCAACATGGTAATAGTCATAAGTGGGAAGAGATAGATACTAGGAAAGAAGAGAAAATAATAGTAATACAGTCTTAGTAAACTATTTGACAGTGTTGTGGGAATTAGTTGTTAAGCAGAGTGATGCATTGGGAGGGGAGAATAGAACTAGCATGGAAATAATAATGTTTGTTCTTTGGATCTTCTCCAGTTGTGGCTTTTTTTAGGTGAACTTTCACCATAATGGCTCATCTTGGAAATAATTATTTTACTTAAACCTGTTGCGTGTGTCTATTTCTTCTCTCTTCTTTCTATACAACTCACTCCTACCGGTGCATGCCAACCTTCCTCATTTATCAACTAAAAGACTCAAACCCAGGAAGTCTCCACTGGCACTTGTACAACATCTGCCCAAGAACTTTAAGCTTAATTCCCAGTGGAAGCCAAATGGTTGGGTCTTAAGACATATAAATGACCCCACAAGAAAAGTGTCGGGCTTTGAACTACCACATCAGCAATGGACAATCTGGAATAGGATTAGATGACCTAGATCTATTTTAAGATTTATATTTTATTGTGTTTTATTAATCTAGATTAAAATCTACATGAAATATATATTGCTAGTTCATGTATGGTATGTCAAATGCTAAATATGACAGGCTTTAAAAAATTTTAAGATTTGAACCCCACCTATGTACAAGACTCTTTGCTTCTACAAAATAGAGATCTGCATATATATGTTCACCATCATCTCTTCCCATCCAAGCTTCAGGTCCCCAGTACTACTGATGTCCAATCTATGGATTCCTGAAAGTCTTACATACTGTTAGTAGAAACTGTAACATTTTTTCATGTATTAATTCCTTTTTGAAAAGCTTCAGTCCTCAGTCAAAAAAAGGAAGGAAGGGTCTTGATCAATGAAAGATTAATTACAAAACAATTCTTCCCATTGGGCTTATAATTTAAAAGATTGTCTATTGCAACATGCAGTATTACTTCATTCTGAATACAGTGGAATATTAGAGGGGGAAGCCAAGTTTCAACTGAATAATATAATTCAATAATTTTGTATAATAATCTCCCACAAATTCATTTAAAATATTTGTAAGGTGAGCTCTTCTTTTGATCATACTTCTCTCTTTTTTTGGCCATTTAGATAAAGCTCGTGTGCTTTGCAATTTGTCAAGGTTTGTTTTAGAAATTACTGCTAGTTTCCTCTTTTATAAATCACTGAAAAAGCAAAGGGCGTCAGAGTGCTTCTCTGATGGGGTGCTTGGACAAGCCTGCTTTCAAATCTGCAGTACAGTCATTATAAAGCTAAGATGCCACGTGGCCACTTTTCATCGCCAAAGCAACTAACCTTGGAGAAATCTGTAAGATTACATCTGTAAGACAATGTAATATGCATGCAAGACAACTCCTATTATAAAGATTAGAGTCTGCATGTACATATATTACTTTAAGCATGTTTTATAAACCACATTAGCTGAAAATGCTTCCAAATCTGTTTATATTTTATCAATTGTTAAAAAAGTAGTCCCTACTAACTCAAAGATACTTTTTCAAAAACAAACCTTCCTTTGTTTTTCCCTGAAGACATTTCCCTCCTCATCCAAGAAGCTTCTTCAGATGAAAGCGAAACTTCTTCAAGGAAAAACAAAGAAAATCCAGTTGCCTTTTGAAAAAGCAGCTTTGGGACAACCATGACCTGGATGACTGAGAATCTTCATAGACAATCCCTGCTAACAAGCTTAAAATTACAAAGGAATGAAAAGAATGGGGAGGAGAACAGATTAAAAAAAAGCACGTGGCAATCCTGGAAGTCATTGTTCTTATGACCCATATGAATAGCAATGGATGAGGGTGAGTCAATGGGAGACTTGGCACTGCATTCCTATAGCACCGGCTACAATGCAATGGACAAAAGAGGAGGAGTCAAAAATGCTAGCTGAGCAATAGGCTAAAAACTAATGCAAGATGGTTTGCTTTTGAGTTGATGGCTACTAAATCAGTAGTGAAGAATTTAAAGCAGACCTGTAATTATAACATTTCTGTACTGTATAAGTGTTTGGTCTATCTGAGGATGGATGGGGGAATAGCTACAATAGGCTATAAAAATACTCTAGTTGTTATGATTCAACCTTCTGACATCTTTGCCTGGATGACAGAGATTGGCAAATTGCAACACATTTGGGGGAGGAAACCCCCGAGGTTGGTATAATTTGTACATTCCAATGATTCCCTGCCTAAGTGGCTTGCTCTGATTGATGAAGCTGCTTTGGATGAGCAATGAAGCATCTCAAGCTAACAAAAATTAATCCAGTTGCCACGATTCAACTTTCCAACTACTATACAGGTGAAGGTTCCCCTCACACATATGTGCTTGCTGTTCCCAGCTCTAGGGGGCGGTGCTCATCTCCGTTTCAAAGCCGAAGAGCCAACGCTGTCTGAAGATGTCTCTGTGGTTATGACTAAATGCCAAAGGCACATGGAACGCTGTTGCTTTCCCACCAAAGATGGTTCCTATTTTTCTACTTACATTTTTACATGCTTTCCAACTGCTAGGTTGGCAGAAGCTGGGACAAGTAACAGGAGCTCACTCCGTTATGTGTTGCTAGGGATTCGAACTACCAAACTATCTACCTATCTACCTGATCGAGAAACTCAGCGTCTTAGCCACTGAGCCACCGTGTCTGGCTACTATAGGCAAGTATAAATATCCAGACATGAGGGATAATTCTAATTTGAGCAGAGTGCTAAATGATATTTAAACATAATTGTGGGCTTATTTATCCCTCCCTAAACACTGATTCACAATACTATCTGGTATCCTTATTAATATTTGGTGAGACAAAGTTCCTTAGTACGACCCAGCTGAAACAAACTTCAAAATAATAATAGCTCTCAATGAACCATTGTAGCTGGCACTATTTACAGTTTTCTTTGCCAATGTGTTTCCCTGCATGAAATTTGGCCTTCAAAGAATACAAACTGCCCAACAAGAGAAGTTACTAACATTTAAATGGTTACATAGACAGGAAGGAAAGAGATTATATAGTTTCTTCCAAATCACAACCCTAGCAAATGAGCTCAATAACCAGAATTTTCTCTACAACATTTCAAAATCCTAATCCAACTGCATTTTCCTAAGTACCCAGTCATTTCCTAATTACCTGGGAATAAGCACCTTCCCATACACTCAATGGGACTTCTTTCGAATAAATATCTGTTGTGAATAGTTCTGTTGTTGTAGAACTGACACATCTGAGATTGCAATATCACTCTGGACTGATAGTGGAATCTTTAGACTAGCACTGATATAACATTTTAAATTCAGGAGATTGACATAAGAGTTACAGAGTCAGCTGTGCATTGTCCATATAGCCTGTTGGGTACTTCCCTAATACCCAACATAAATAATCTAAAATGGCTACTCCAACTAATGATTGTTAGTACTGTTACTATATGCATTTACTTGGTTGTGGTCATGTGCCCATTTTAAGCCCACATTGAGCCCAGAAGGGGAAAATACTGGAATGTACATGATTTCAGAAAATAAGCATTCCTTGTTTGTTGCATAATTAGTGTAAAGGAACTTTTACTATAGCTCAAAATATGCACTGTTTATTCCATTCAGTGGTACAAATCCATTGTGAAATGCAAGACTTTTTTATGTACAGTATTATGACCAGTTTTAGTCCAAGGAGTGGGAGACCGTTGGATTTAAAGAAAAGGTTGCTAAAAGACTATTTCAAGAATTTCAGCCAGTATGGTCAGTGGTGAAAATGCTGGGTACTGCAGTTCAAAAATATCCACAACGGTTGATCCCAAACTTTGAATATCTTCAAAATGCATGTCTATGGGGAAACTGATGCCTGTTAGCACCCTGTAGGATATTCCAGATGCGGACCTTACCACTTTCCCATCTGCTACTTTTTCAGATGTTTGTGGGAAGAGCAGCCGCAAATGTTACAAGAATTACAGACTGAATAATCGTCGCTCCAAGAATGCCTAGCAGTTGATAATAACAAACCAAACCCTGGCATTGGCTCATGGCTTAAAACGAGCCAATCTTAGAATACGATTCCCAAGGCTTTCCCAAGCAAAAAGCCCCCGCCGCCTGTCCCATTCATTGCAGCCCGGCCTTCCCCTCGGAGAAGAGCGCGCGCGGCTAAGAGCGCGCAACAAGTTGCAACAGCGTTGCCACCGCCCCTTCCGCCTTGCCGCGTCTCTGCCTCTGCCGACGACCCTTCCTTTCCCGAGGGCGCCCTGGAGTTCGGTGCTTGGCACTGGCGCCATCCGTGACAGGGGGAAAACCCCCCGCGACCACAGCCAGACACGCACCTGTACGACTTCACTCTTTGACCCGCACCCGGAGCCTGGCTTCGACCGTCACGTGCCCCCGGCCGTCCAATCCGGACCGGCCAGTAGTTTGTTCGGGAGCTGCTCTCGGCGGCAGAAGAGTTTGCTGAGAAGACCCGGGAGAAGCGCTCGATCGGCCGTGGCGGCGGCGGCAGCCTTGCTTTTAGCCTCTGAGGCTGCCTCGGATCGCCCGCGGTCTCCGTTTTCTCCACCTTCTCGGTTCCGCGAGCGCTTTACCTGCGGCTTCTCTCATCGCCCGTCTCCTCTTCTCGTTCCGTGCGTGGCTCTCTTCTCTCTCACCTGGGCCCCCTCGGACTGCACCCCTTTGCAATCGCCGCTTCTCTGTGATTACCTCTTGCTTCCCCTCCCCCGCTCTCCCTCCCCTCCCCTCCCTCCCCTCCCTCTTCCCTCATTTCATTTTTCCTATTTTATCTTCGCTTCGCTTGTTTTTCTTCTTTCGGGCCGTGTGGCCGTTTTCTCCTGGCTCCGTATAAATCACTCCATACAAACTTTCTTTGCCTCGATCCCATTTATCCCGAACGCTTTTCACTTCCTGCTTTGCCACCGGTCCTTTCTCTGAACTCTGATATACATCTGGATTGTGCTTTCTTTCTCTTGACTTCTTCACTCCTTCCCTCATTGTCACCTTATGTTATCTTTCTCTCATCACTTTCATAGCTCAGCTTCTTGCCTTTGAACCTGCACTCCAAATGTCTGATCCAAATACTGTGGTTTCTACTCCTCACTCATCTCATGCTCCAATCCCCCTTCCTTGTCTAACCAGGAGTCTCTTTTCTTTTTGCTTCGTTTCACTCCTTTCCTAGCACTTTTATGCCTGCCTAAAATAGGGAAGAGTTGGCTTCAATTGCAACAAGGCTAATTAAGAGCTGAAGAAGCTTCTTGGATGAGAAGCAAAACATCTTCAAAGAAAGTCCAGTTGCCTCTTGAAAAAGCACCTTTGGGACAACTTCATCAATTGTTCTCAAATGCTGAGGTGGAAGCTGATGTGGTTAGTACCTGTATCTTGACCATGGCTTTGCTGAGCTCTGAGGGAACAGCTGAAGGGAGCTTGGGGACCAGTGGCAACTCTTGCCCACTGTGGACCGTGTTGTATGACTATGAAGCCACTGGAGAAGATGAGCTGAGTTTGCGTCGAGGGGAAATGGTGGAAGTTTTGTCTAAAGATGCAGCAGTGTCTGGAGATGATGGGTGGTGGGCAGGTAAAATCCATCATCGTCTTGGCATCTTCCCAGCAAACTATGTGACTTACCAGCCAGGCTGCTACCAACATCCCCAGTTAGGCTTGTTGGAGAAGACTGAGCATCAAACTCAAAACCTGGCCATGAGTGATGGCCACCCTGTAGATCACAAAGGCTGTATGGGTTCTCTAGCAGAGATTGACTTCCAGCATCTGGAACTGCAAGAGATTATTGGAGTTGGAGGCTTCGGTAAAGTTTATAGAGCAATATGGAAAGGCCAAGAAGTTGCAGTGAAAGCAGCTCGGCAGGATCCAGATGAGGACGTCATGGCCACTGCAGAGAGTGTGAGGCAGGAAGCCAAGTTTTTTTCCATGTTGAAACATCCGAATATCATTGAACTTCATGGTGTAAGTTTGCAGGAGCCCAACCTCTGTCTAGTTATGGAATTTGCCAGGGGAGGACCCCTCAATAGAGCTTTGTCAGGTTCTTTCCCCACCACTAGTGGGGGCCACTGGGGCCGTCGCATTCCTCCTCATATATTAGTCAACTGGGCAGTACAAATTGCTCGAGGGATGCTTTACTTACATGAAGAAGCCATCGTCCCCATCCTTCACAGAGACCTCAAATCAAGTAACAGTAAGTATTTCGAACAGTTTTTTTTTAAAAAAAGGACAATTTATGCATACTTTCCCATGTTTCTATATTATAGTAATGACAAGTTTTATTTACAAACTTTGCAATGCAAAAGTGCTGTTTAAGATGCTTATCATTTTATGCTTTAAGAATTGATTTTTCAGTTATCAGATATGTACAAGTGTATTCCACCAAACTGAATCAAGTATTTTCTCCTCTTGGCTAACAATAGTTATACTTAAGCATTTCCATACTTGGTGAGGTTTGGTTTCTTGGAAGTATGGAAGTCTTCTCATGACTCATACAACGGGAAGACCTGGAGAAGTCTCTTCTATGAAATCTTGGCTATTAAAACTGAAATCTTAAGGAGCCAGTCGCAAGAGCATATAATTTTGAGTAGTCATAAATAGAATCAGATTGGGGACTTCCTGGGAGGAGCCTACTGGTGGAAGCAGCAAAAAATCAGCTGCCTCCGAATTCCTGGCTACGTACCTGTTTAGAGGATCTTCCATCTGACGTCTTAAGATTTCAGTTTTAATAGCCAAGATTTCATAGAAGAGACTTCTCCAGGTCTTCCCGTTGTATGAGTCATGGGGAGACTTCCATACTTCGAAGAAACACAACCGCACCAAGTA